CCCATGTACATTGTGAGTAATTACCTGAAGCGGCTGCAACAACATGTTTTAAAGGAATAATTTACCCACGAGATAACCTTTAAACTAAATTACTCACCCACCTTCAATGGATTTGTGTGTAAGAGTGTGTATAAAGATGTTTGCTGTTCTTAACCAGGACCCCATTTACTTTTAAGTTATCAAAACTTTTAAATAACAGGCTGAGAAATTGATATACAAATGGTCATTTTGTTGGTGAAGATATTCCTTTAAACACGTATTACTCTAAGCTTACAATTAATGTAACAATAGTATTTAAAAGTTTATTTAGTTTATACAAAAAAACTGGGCATGTGGTTAGATCCTCGAATGTCGTCGATGATTTTTGGATCAGATTGTGTCATTCAAATGCTTCTACATGTATTCAGTCATTTGTCTACCTCTAAATCATCTCTCCTCTGTCTGACAGGACCGTATGGTTCTGCTCGTACTGGGAAACATAATCAACTGGTCTCTGTAAGTGATATTTTAACTTAACACTAACCAGACAATTGAAATGTAAATATAGTTCACAGGATTAAATCATCTGTTTCACTTCCTCTCTGCAGCGCTGCTTTCGGCCTCCTAGAGAGACCCAACGACTTTGCCTCCTACCTGTTGGCCATCGCCATCTGCAACCTGCTGCTCTACTTTGCCTTTTACATCATTATGAAGGTGTGTCATTGCATATTTCCATGTTTTTAATTAGAATAAAGTTGTTTTTCTGTTGTATTTCTGACGTTTTTCTGTGTATGTGTTTCAGTTGAGGAGCGGTGAGAGGATCAAGTGTCTGGCGTTGGTGTGTATTCTGTTCACAGCCGTGGTGTGGGGCGTCGCGCTGTTTTTCTTCTTCCAGGGTCTCAGCACCTGGCAGGTCAGTAACTCACACACACACACTCAGAGTTACACAGAAGCGGCATTAGCCCCTCACACCTAGTTGACTAAAGTTTTAGCCTGTGAGAGCGCACATTGGCTCTGTATTTCTTAACAGATCATGCATTGTAGAATCCCATAATCCCCTCTGTTTCAGCCCTGTTTCAAAAGTGCTGATTCTGTGTCTGTAGCTTTAAATGCAAATGAACCCCCTCCCCACGCCACTCTTGAGAGATATTTGGTTAAAAAGAACACAATGGTGCTCTAATACCCCATTCACACCAACGGTGTTTCGGGGCCGGTTCGGTGCTGGTGCTTGAAAAGCACCGGGTTTTCCTGTTCACACCGCAGCGGAGCAGCCTCTAAGCTCCGGAATCCGGTTCGTTTCGAGCACCAAAAAGTTGTCCGTCTAGAAGCAAGAACCGCATACGTCACGCTTACGTCGGAGGGGGGCGAGATTAACCTGAGCTAACAGTTAAGGCGAGTACGGCAAATAAAAGTTGTAACAAGCAGTAGTGCTGAGCAAAGTGACTAGAACGCAACCACACACTTGTAAAAAAAAAACACGCTTTATAAAGTCAGGCAACACTAACCAGGCTTCGTGTGATTCTGTTTATTTGTACCTTACTTTGACCATCCGTTCGCTGTTATTGATCATTGTGGAGAGCAGGCAGACGTTTTGTTTGTTATTATAGCAGCTATCGGATGGAATCAATACATGGGCTGCACAGGTTGTCATGTCCGACTATCACAAGTAGAATCATAATGAAAAATACGCCGGTAAAAAGGGCCTGGAGAAAACGGCGTAGCAAGTAGTCAGTTTAGCTTCGGTTGCTATGCTAACATCACCCATGTTATACCAGAGAAACTTTCATAACAGCGTTGTGATGCCAAACAGCATCAATTCAGACTGACACACATTCACTTAAGGGGAACTGGGGATATGTAACAGCTGCTTGTGTGACAGTCAGACAGTGAATACTTTAGAGCCGTGTGAGCTAACCCGGAGCTAACGGGAGAATACACTCCCGTTGAAGAGCAGCCGGCCAGCACTGCAGCGGTCGGTAAATGCCGCTGAAACACATTAATAAACAATGAACCACGGCACTCTGGAGAAAAGTATAAGGTTGGAGAAGTCGTTATTTAATTTAATCTGGCTTCGTATGATTAAAAGCAACGCAGTCCCCGGCCCGTTGTTGTTGTGAGGTGAGCTCCGTTGGGGAGAAAATCAGCGACGTAAACTGTGACGTCATGACGCAGCAGCGCCAGCACCAGTCGGTCTCTGAGCGGTGTGAAAAGAGCCGGAGCTAAACCGAAGTACCGGTTCCGAACCTGAAAAGCTCTAGCACGGAGCTTGAACCGGAGTTGCGTTGGTGTGAAAGGGGTATAGGAGGAGATTCAGGTGATAAGGGGGGGGGGTTACCTTGGTTGGTGATTGGCTAATGGTTACACAAGCCAAAAAATCGTTATGACATCATAAAGTGGCCAAAATCTGATCAGCTCATTTTCAGACAGGTTTTTATATAAATGGATCAGGACAAAGGGGAGTCTTTGTTCCTGAAACGTTCAGAATCTCTTTACACGGAGGGGACACATGTTTATGTATAGACATAAGAAAGTGGATTTTGCATAATAGGTGACCTTTAAATTACGTATTGCCTACACACAATGTGGCATTCGTTAACTGTGTGTGTGTTTTCCTCTCCCGACACAGAAAACTCCAGCGGAGTCTCGCGAACACAACCGGGACTGCATCCTGCTTTCATTCTTTGATGACCACGACATTTGGCACTTCCTCTCCTCCATCGCCATGTTCGGATCCTTCCTGGTATGATCATGTTCATTTTGTGTGTATGTGTGTGTCGCGTAGATATCTCTTTGTTCTGGACACTCATTAAAAGCATATGTAAATAACATATTCTTTATATTAATGTATGTGTACTTGACATTTTAAATAAAACTTGAATATATTGTTGCAATGGGAACTGGCAAACAGTACAATTATGGGGCCAATTCACCAAAAATTGAATAAAGTTGCCTCATTAGAAATGTTTATCTTCCCTTTCTCTGGGTTCTATCACAAAAGATGTTGCGCCCATGATTTAACAGTACAAACACGGCCATAAAGAGTTTCAGCTATTTGTGAATTTCGCCTTTTTTGAATCCCAGGATTTAGGAAAGGAGGGAGAGGAAAAAAACAAGCTGCCCAATCCTTTGTGAATCCACCATTGCGTATACTAACCCCTCACATATTCTTTTTTCCCTGCTAGGTCCTTCTGACTATGGACGACGACCTCGACACCGTCCAGAGAGACAAGATCCTCGCCTTCTAGACGTGTCAGATCTTCTGAGCTCAGCTCTTCCTCTCTGCCTTATCGCCCTCGTCTCGCTCCGTTCTCAGCTCCTTCGTGTTCTTCAAAAAAAAGCACAGCCAGTAGCCGGTTTTTCCCAGGCTGCACGGCGGGCATCTCTCTGCTTGCAGGCCTCAGCCAATCAGCCGGTCAGCCGGTCAGAGAGCGGGCAGTAGCTCCACCCTCCCTCCGTTTGTATGGACACTTGTATGTGCCAATAAAAAGACTGGGTCGACGTCAAGTGATGCTGAAGTGTTTTGTCCTCTCGCTGCCATCATCAATATAACTGTTGTGATCAGTGTTTACTTCCTGCTGTTGATGAAAATAACAATGTAAACACTCACAAGTCAGCAATGCATTTTGAAATCACTGTTTTTATGCTGTGTGTATGCCTGCCTGTGTGTGTGTGAGAAAATGAGTTTTGTCTAGTCTGTCAGTGGCCTTTTGATGTTCTAATCATGTAAGTCACATACTGTGCTCTGATTGGTCAGATCCCCCGTCCTTCTCATTGGAGAATATCAATATAATGATGATGATGATTGTATTTCCTTCATGACTGCCCTCAAGTCCGGATGCGATGTTATTTTTTACTCTGCACTGTATGATAAACAGATTAAATGTCTAACATTGCAATGAGCGGTTACTGAATAAAAGTCTCATTTTCTGGCTCCTTCCTGAACGTTCAGTTAGCGACTCCTGAACCAGATGTTCTGTCATCTATAAACCTGATAAAATGGTAGAAACTCATAAAGTGATCACTGCAATTTAAGTGGTTAACTATTATAACCATTTTATTCAGCAATGTTGTCATTACTATGTTATTTGTTTATGGCAAGAATATGGAGTAATGAAACTGCCAGCTTTGCTATTATTCACCAAATTGTATTGACTGTTTCAGAACATTTACTACTACTGTGTAAAAATGGAATACACTATAATACAGGCTGTAGCAGGGGTGGGCAAACGTTTTGGCTCGGGGGCCACTATGAGTTTTTAAATGTAACAGACGGGCTGGGCCAGTAGCAGATCAGTGACAAAATATTTAGCTGTCCACTCCTCATTAAACACTCGGCACTCATTGTCGACTTTTCTTTTCTTTGGTCCACTCCATTGTTGCAGATGCAGGTTCAAAGGTGAATTAGGTTCAAAGGTGAGTTATTGCGTGATTGCGTCATCGTTTGCGTCATGACGTAACCGTTTACGTGCCTTCTTATGACCCATTTTACGTCGCTGATTTTCTCCGCAACACCGCTCACAACATCAATAGAGGACTGCGTCAGGTAGTTTTTAATCATACGAAACCAGATTAAATTAAAGAACTACCGCGGGCCTTAGTTTGCCCATGCCTGAGCTATAGCCTAACACAGTATCGTGCTGCTAACAAATAAAGTAACGTTAGAAGTGCAAAATAGATATTAACTTAAGTCACTGTTTGATGAGGTTTCATTGTTTTTCTACAAACAAACTGAAAACAAAATGTAGACTGCCTAATATAAAAAATACAATTTAAAATACATATAACAAATATGTTGTAATGTTTGAGAAGACCCAAAATGTACAATTTTAGCGGACATTTTATACAGTATTTCTAAAATAATATTTGTGTTGCAAAACTGTTATCAATATTTACAGTTAATCACTGTAACAGGAAGTAAGAGAAACTAGCAGACAACAGAGGTTGTCTGTGTGAACGTATATCTGTTAGGTAATCAGGATTTGATTATAACGGAAAGAACACAAACAAAAATATATATAAAAGTAGATTTATTAAAATATTTTATACAAAAATACAGTATTATCAACACATAAATACGCACAAAAGATATCTTACATTTATACAGAAAGTAACAAATGTAAAATAAAAGTGGATTGCTTTACCTTGACAGTGATTCTAATAGTGATGACTTGCTTCTGACATACTAAAACAACCATATCTAAAATAATTAGTTAAAACATACACTTAGAACTTAGAAGTCACTTTCAAAGGAGTGTCATAAATACAAATGTAACCTGACTTCATGAAATGAACATTGACCTGTGTGCAGCTTTTAGCTCTACTTTGTAGTTTTATGTCCGACAAATGGGTTCACAACATGGAGTAAACTGGATGGTGTTTGGGATGGTCTCAGTAAAACAAGTATAAATAGTTCAGTAAATGATTCCTTGTCATTGTCTAGACATTAAAGTAAACGTAACCATTTAAAAACAGTTTGGCCCAAGTCTGGCATGGAGCTGTAATCTGTAAACGTGGCGTTGGAAGTGCTTTAAGCCGTATATCATGTGGAGGATAAAGGTCCTCAGGCCTCTGTGACATATTTCTTCCTGAATTGTCCGCGTGTAAACGTCACAAAGCTGAGTTGTCAGTTACTAACGCTCCAAAGTCCTCTGGACAGTCACAGTGCAACAGCACTGACCTGTGTGTCATGTCCTCAGTAATGATACACTCTGATCTGGTTGTTATCGTCCAGGCCCAGCTGCACCAGGCTGCTCTTTGTGGAAGGAGCCCGATAGCGAGTGAACAGAGGTCTGGAAGAACCAGTTAAAGACAACGTTCGACAAGAGTGTGTATGTCAATAATGTGAAGTCGTAAAAGGTTATGAAACAAGTCCAAAATACATCAATAAACATTGATATGAAAAGAACATTTGGTTAAAAGACATGGAGATTTTAGAGACACTTAGCAACAGTCCTCTAAATTGCTCAACACACACGTACCAATGGTGACCTTTAAACCAGATGGTGTGTTTGTTGTTTGCTTATGGTTTGCACCAATATATATATTTTTTAAATAAATAAAAGGTTTGCAAGTCTGATGTGATGCAAAAAAGAGGAATTAATGCTTGATGGATGATTTGTTTCGATTTGTGCTAATAGCAAAAAGATACATAACAAATAAACTAAAAGGGTAGAAAATAGCAAAGAAAGTAAAGAATATGTAAAAAGAGATAGTTAAACAAATATAATATATTTTATCAAAACAAGATTTGCTTTTTTTTCACTAAATACCAGGATGTTACTGCCTTTTGTAAGTTCCAAACTCCATTGTAAGGGATTTATAAATTGAAATTTAAACACACAGCATGTCAGACTATACTGTATGTCGTATTGAGATGAGGTTGTAATTTGACACTGGGTTGTGCGCTCTTTAATTAAACAACAATACTGATATCATGTATGTGTGTGTGAGTGTGTGTGATAAAAGGATACATGCTGGTGTCTTTCTTGCGCATCTCCAGCCACCTCTTGTTTCCGTCGATCAGGCCCTGCAGCCGCTGGCCGTCCACCTCCACAGACTTCTGCACAGACCGCAGGCTCCGACCATGGTCGCTTCACACACAGACACACAGTGTTAGGATTGTTGTAGGTCAATTAAAGACAGTGAGGATGTGTATATAATCTATAGCCTGATTGAAAGGCACATTGTAGCAGGTTACCTAGCAGGAGTGTATGATGAGTACGCAGAGGCTGCTCCCATGGTGCTGGAGGCGAGTGGATCCATAGCTGCTCCTGGAGAACAGAAACAACTATTCAGGACCAACAACAACGTACACATACAATAAGTCTGATAAACCTTTGCTTCAACACATTTGTCCACTCAGAAGATATCAAAGCGGTTTACACACAAGACTGAACTGAAAGTAGCTTTGTTTGGTCAATAATCACACAACATTTAAAACATGCAACCAAATAAACATTTCCATCAAACAACACACCATGTGTTCAAATGAATATATTGTTTCAGTCACTCATTTCACAAAGGATATCAAAATAAAGCTATCAATTTGAACAGGTTAGTCCCTAATTTGTGCTATATGCCTGTGTCATTTGTCGATACAAATAGCATGTGCCAAAACAGGCACATTTGTTTTATGCATAAATAGTGGAGGATTTTACTAGACATGCAAAAACAACCACTTTTAATTCATTTTATTGTTATGTGCTGGTCTTTTCTTTCCTTTTACTATCCTGATGTGCATTTGACCTCTTTGATCATATAGCAAGTGTGCAAACTCTGCAAACATTATGCAAAGCAGTTTCTCATGGGTGCTTTCTATCAACTGTTAATATGTTTCGTTCTTTCTTTAAAAGTTTATCTTGTGAGTTGTAGATCTTTATATGAGATCAGTGAAAACTGTTTTGAAAAAGAGTGTAAAAAAGGTGTAAAACGAAATGAAAATGTGTTAAATGACGTTCAAGAAAACACTTCTACCTTTCAAGAAAGTGATAATGAAGATCAAGACGACCCAAGATTTATTAAGCGTGTCTTAGAAAAAGCAAGTAAAACTTCATGTGGCATAAAGCAGAATGAGGCGTCTGCTGGCGTACCGGGGAATATCTGGCTCCACCGGCTGTTGATGAGGTCATCAGAGGCCCTCAGCCCACTGCTCACGGGGGTGCTGAAGAAAGGCGTGGCTGTGGAGGAGCCCTGGGGGGCCCAGCTCCAGGGCGTCGAGGGAGGGGGGACGGAGGAGCTGTGGCCAAGGGGGTGCATCTGGGGGAACACGGGGGCAGAGGTGGAGGGGGGAGCTGGGGATGAGTGAGACAAAGGGAAGTGTGTATAGGGGGGGGGCGCTCTGCCTCTCTGCGAGTGAACCCAGCGCACCCAGCACGCTGTTGAGCTGGCCTGAGATCTGCTGCAGGGACTCTGCTAACTCCTGCACTTTGTCCGGGACATTAGGATGACCTCCTGATAAGAGAGTCAGGGAGAGAGAGACAGAGAGAAACAGTGTACGTGAAATGATATTCTGACATATCAGTCATTACAGAGAATATGTCTTGGGAACATTTGGGAAGACTTTGTAGCGTGACTGATTCTGCTGATCGGGAAGAAGCCTGAGACCCTCCTATCAACTTAATTGTGACATTTAGCTAAAAGGAATCAGAAAATGGAAGTGACATCAAGCGTCACAGAAGGGGGTCCTGTCACGGTGTGTTACCTGGTCCGTCCAGGGGGTCCAACGTGCTGCTGAGGTCAGAGTCAGTCACATCAAAGGTCACCTTCCTCTCTCCTGCCAGCCGAGACAGATCCTCAAACAGCGGCTAAACAGAGAAGGCAACACGACATAGTGCAGTTAATTATTATATGCCTTCGATTTATTCTTAAAAAAGCACAAAAATACACAAACAAAGTTTATCAAAATGCCTATTCTGTGTAGGTTTAACGGTATTGAGCTTTGGTACAAAATGTATTTCAGACATCTCTGTCATTTTTTTAATAATAAAATAAACTGAACATACATTTTATTGTATAATTTATTTAAAGCTAACTCCAATGTGCAAAAGCTACTTTAACTAGCAGCAGAATAAATTAATGATAACACAAAAGTATTGTATTTCTATATTTTATGAATGTTTATAGATTCCTTATAAGCTGTAATTGTTAACCTCAGCTAGGACTAACCAGGTGTACAGGTTCACCTCTTGGAGTCCACTGCAGTGAAAGCATAAAAGCTCTAAACATCTCTTTCTCTGAGTGTTTGTCTCACACCTCTTCAGCCAGAGAGCCCTCCAGCTGCTGGAGCTGCTCCTCTTTCCTCCGCAGCAGAGAGTTCCCCCTCTGAACCGTCCGCTGCAGCTCCAGAACATTCCTGCTCTCCTGACAGGACAGAGAAGAGGGAGCTGCACTTAGCACTTATTCTAAATCAACTCCGTCTCACCCCTCATTACACCAAGTATTATTCAGTACCTGCTGTAGGTTTCTTATCATCTCCTCAGACACCCCTCCTCCCTGGTTGGGGTCCTGGGAGGAGCCGTTCTGGGCCGCCCGCAGAGCTGCCTGTCTCTTCATCAGCCGGCTGCTCTCCCTATCCAGGAACTGTTTGGTTTTTTGGATGGATTCGCCATGTGAGGAGATGTAGCGTCGAACACTGGACACAAAGGGATGAAAGATGAGGTTTAATACACACTTGTACCCAGGGGCGGACTGGGACAAAAAATCAGCCCGGCACTCTCGACCGGCCCACTTCGGTACCGCTAATAAATTGTCAATGGGGGGGGGTGCTAGTGACTTATCCGACCGGCCCACCTCGGTAACGCTAGTAAATTCCGCTAGTAAATTGTCAACGGGGGGGGGGGGGGGGGGGGGGGGGGTTTCTAGTGACTTATCCGACCGGCCCACATCGTCCGACCAGCCCACTTCAGTACCGGCCCATCGGGATTCGTCCCGATGGCCAGTCCGCCACTGCTTGTACCCATGGACTTCCTTTTTAACTATGATTTTCTGGTCAACAGTGAATAGTCAGGATAACTTATTTTGCTGGATGATATTTTGTCCCATAAATAATTGTTTTGACAGCATTAATGTCATTTTAAGACCATCTTACGCCACTATAAAATTAATCTTGAAAGCCTAATTATGCAAGTATATTCAAAGAGCAATGACATCTGAATTCCTTAAGAGTATTGTGATTTTTGCCCTCAATAAATGTAACACTATAAAATGTAAACACACCTAAAACAATAAAATGATGAAATATGCCAATATACTGTCAATACCCAAACACATCTGTGAATGCACCAATCACGAAGTGACTCAAAACACATGTTAAAAAATATATTTTAACATATTGCTCGATGTTCTCTGCTTCCATTTAAACAGTTTGATTACTTCTCTATTTTATGTAATTTAACAGTTGCGTAATGTGTTTTTGAGAAGTTTGAAAGCCCTCTTTATTATATTTGATTGGTATAAGTAGGAGTTGTCATAGCATAATTATTTAATAGGTGAAGCACTATTTGTTACTGTGGCACTAAAATCACACATATTTAAAAATATCAATATTATGGTCCATCAGCAACCATGACAACATCTGTACCCCTTGAATACAAAAAAGCCAAAAATGTGTATTATCTTTGTATTCAATGTGTCCTTACTCGTCCACGCTGCTGGTGCTGTCGGGGACAGGGGAGAGGGGGGGGGTCGTCCAGGTCTTCTACATGCAGCGGGGAGCCTCTCCTGTCACTGGGGGGCGCTGTGGCCTCAGATCTCTCTGCCTTCTTCTTGTCCCGTTTAGCTTCTGCTCTCGGGTAGGCACTCACTCCTTCGCCTGGTTCCAGCTCACTGATTGGACAAAAATAATCAAAATCATTGCATTCTCCTCAGATAAATAACCCCATAGGTGCAAACACACAGGACGTTGGGGTTTCCTGCATCTGATTCAAAGGTCCCATATTATACTCTTTTTCATCAATATATTATAGGTCTCAGATACAAAACATGTCTCTGAAGTGTATGGCTCCAAATACCAAACATCCCATAAACCCCTCTGTTTCAGCCCTGTTTCAAAAAGTGCTGATTCTCTGGCCGTTTCTCAATCGCGAGGATGCTGGCTTGGTAGCACAGCCGAGCCGAGCATCTTGCTTCAGAAGCGAGTCAAGAATACTTCCTGCCATTCGGAAAACGAAGAGTGGAACACGCTAGCAAGTGTGCAGGTGTGCGTCATATGAGAGGCCCCGCCTTACATCTTCCGCCACAGATTTGGGGAAATTGGTCCATGCGCAAAGCATTGTGGGGATTTTAAGGACGCGAAGTCTACCCATGTGCCAGCCTCGAAATTTCGCTCAAACCAAGGACGCGGCCTCGGTGGAATTCCAAGTATGCTGGAGATTGGAACAGTCCTTCGGCGGCACTCGATGACGTAGCATCCTTGAAATATTGACTTGGAAGCCAATATCCTCGCGATTGAGAAACGGCCTGAGTATGTTACTTTAGATGAAAATAAGGAGCCACTCCCCACGCCCCTCTGAGAGATATTTGGTTAAAAAGAACACAATGGTGCTCTAGGAGGAGATTCAGGTGATAAGGTGGGGGGGGGTTACCTTGGTTGGTGATTGGCTAATGGTTACACAAGCCAAAAAATCGTTATGACATCATAAAGTGGCCAAAATCTGATCAGCTCATTTTCAGACAGGTTTTTTATATAAATGGATCAGGACACAAAGAGAGAGAATCTTTTTTCCTGAAACTTTCAGAATCTCTTTACACAGAGGGGACACATGTTGATGTAGAAGAGACATGAACAAGTGGATTTTGCATAATAGGTGACCTTTAAACTGTACCTGGCTCTGCGAGTGAGACGGTCGCATCTCTCCTGCAGGAGCGCCACCTTGCTCTCCAGTCGCCCCTTGTCCTCCTTGCTCCTCCTGCTCTCCTCCCTGGCTCTCTCCCCCTCCTCCCTCAGCCTCTCCTCCCCCTGCTTGGCCTCACTCTTCTCCTCCCTCGCTCTCTGGAGGAGTTCTCTGGCTTGATGCCTCTCCTCTCTCATCCTCTCCAGCTCCTCCGTCAGCTGCTCTCTCTCCTGCATCAGCCGGGGTAAGGTCTGGACACACACACACACACACACACACACACACACACACACACACACACACACACACACACACACACACACACACACACACACACACACACACACACACACACACACACACACACACACACACACACACACACACACACACACACACACACACACACACACACACGTGGGGAGAGATGGTTGACAGATGGTTGAGTGTTTTAATATTGTTCTTTTCATTAAGAAAAAGTTGGATGTCTTACCTCTATCTGCCTGTCCACTTCCTCTTCTTCCTCCCCAAGTTTCCTCCTCCTCCTCTTCAGATCTGCTGCCTAAAAAGAGACAGAAACCATAACACCATGAGGTTAGTGTATTAATGATGAATAGTACTTGCAGTATGAGGTAAAGACCTTGTTCTGCAGCATGGCCTCCTGGCTCTTCAGCTCTTTGGCTCTCAGCTCCATCTTATCTGTCAGATCCTCCAGTTCTGACTCCTAAAAGAAGAATTAACACAATTCATTTCTAGAATATAGTGTTGATGACGCTTCACTTTGCTCTACCTCAAAATACCCTAAACATTAAGCTTTAATTCTTTACAATCCGAGATGTGAGATATGTTTTAAATTCAAATGTGTGTATCTGTCTGGTCTCACCTTGCGCGAGTGTGTCAGCTGTGTCTTCTGAATCTGTGTGTTGAGCTGCAAGCGGAGTTTCTCCAGTTGGACAGCATGCGAGGCCTGGAGCTGCTCTCGGTCTTCCTGCAGTGAAGAAAGTAAGCGCGCCCTCTGCGCCGTCTCCTGGAACACAAACGCAACATTTTGTAATTGCAATAAAAACCACATCACTGTTGTATGTCTTTGACAAGTTGCAGTTTACACCCATGTCTGTCCAAAATGGCATCACTTAATTATTTTATAGTATTAGATAATTGTGTGAAACTGTCATAATTAGCATTTAATTTCTTGTCCAAAACCGTGTTTTGTGAGGTAATAGACACCTGAGGCCTGTACTACGAATCCAGTTCAACAGACCCTGGATATGTTTGAGTTACCCGGCTTACCTAACCCAAAACAAATGCGCTCTCGCTAAGCTGTCCTACGACACTGGTTATCAACTCGGTAACTCAAGCCAGGGTTTCTCTGTCCGGCTGAGAGCGCGTTCACATGAAAGGGGCGGGGTTATCAACATTTGACCAATCTCAAACATGGACAAGCGTACTGACAGCGCAGCGTCATACTTCCTGAATGAAAAGTGAACTATAATATTAGACAAATATGAAGAAGTTAAACTTTAAACATCCATGACTTAAACACTTTATCCAGGATAAAAGCCACATAGCTGCACCTGCAAGGTGAATACAGCTGGTAAAAGAAAAAGTGTTTGAATGCGTACATATATCACTGCCCCGTCCAATACACGAGTGGATCTGACTTTAATTACATTTGACTCGAGTGTTTCGTCAACTTAATGTGTTGCTTAAAATAATACTTCTGCATACAGTATGTGACACTGTGAGTGTTGCACGGCCAGATACGGCTCGAGAAGCTGACTCAGATAAGGAAATATATGATACATTATGATGTGATATGATATGAATGATAATGGGACACATCGACGTCTGCACTCACAGTGCCGCAGACTGTACTAGTTACTCTGATCCGGTTACTTATGTCGTGGCAGATATTTAAGTAAGCTTTCTTAACGCTAATGTTATAATAGTCAGATTGCTCTGAAGATGGGAGGGGATATTCTATTAATTTTCACGTTCACACAGTCAGTTGATTTTTGCCGGCCGTCTTTCCTGCAATGGCAGTTTTTCTGTATTTCCTTTATCCTGTAATATGACTTGATAGCTTTAAACTCCGCACACTGAGCTCTGATTGGTCAGCAGGCGGTGCTTTCACTGAGTTGATCTCTTATCAACCTCCGGAGCAGGTTAGCCATTCAGCATAAGTTACCATGGAGATCTAGCCCGGTAAGAAGAGAACCAGCGTCGTAGGACCGGAAACCCAGAGTTTTCCACGAAGCGAAAATCCGGCTTCGTAGTACAGGCCTCTGTCCTTTGGTGGACATTTGTGCCAGAAACCTAATTTATAAGAAAACCCTTCAGGTATTGTTGAGATGTTTGGTTTCCAAACATGGACGTATGGACAATCTGAAAATAAAACGTCTCTGGATGCAGCTGTTCTTTGCATTGAGGAAAACAAACAAATTGTGGATCTTATTTATTGTATTTTAGAGCCTGAAGATCTTTGTCGATGCTGGAAACAAAAATATGTTACACTTCTTTAACACTCATTTCAACATATTCTACTGTTTTGACCCATGCAAGAGCAAGATGAGGGCATGTGTCAGTGAACTGTGAACCCTCTCTCACCTCATCCATGTATTTCTCTCGGATGCTGTTCATCTCTCTCCTGTGGTCCTCCCTCATCTGCTCCAGCTTCCTCTCGTGATCACGCTGCACTTCCTCCCGCACTTCCTGGAGAACATCACCTAGCTAGAGAATGAAAGACAGAAATGGTCCATTTACACCAGAAATAGATATTTGTCTGTGTAAATGTAATGGAACAAATGTAATTCTGAGGGTGTGTGTGTCCTCCCACCTCTCTGTGGTACTCTGCCAGTTGCAGTGCAGGACGTTCTGTGACCTTTATAAAGACAAAGTAGTGTAAACACAGATTCAGACACACATGTGATCATTAATCTGCCCAATGCCACCATGTACCAAAAACACAACTTGACCATGGTAACGGTACCATATTAACCAATAACCCTACTGTATCTCTGTTTGCACACAACAACTAAAAGTAAATAAAGTCAAACTCATGTGTCATGAAGTAACTTGAACTTGTGTATCAAAGAACTCTATGAGTCATTTGTTTTTTATTCTCCATTACTTATTACATTTGCCACCTATTCTGTGTTTTTGTACGCTTAATGCAGCCACAGCCCTTTTTTCTTTTTATTTACACAATGAAATTAAGAGGAGGTTATTTTCTTATTTGGGAGTTTTTTTGTCTTTATTTTAATACAAAAAAAAGGGGGAGGGACAAGGTTGAAATGCAACAAAGGACTAGTAATAAGGACTCAGCTTTCCTACATGCGTCTGCACTAAAAGGTGAGCTACAGGAAGTTCTGTTTTAGAGCAGCATCTGGAGAACGCCCCTGGTTACCCAGCGGCAGTAAATCAAAATCAAATCTGTAGTAATGGTTTCTACCTTGCATCCAACTACTTGGCAACAGATTTTGAAGCTTCAAACTAGGGCTGTGCAATTAATCGTATTTTAATCGCAATCACGATATTGGCCTGCCACAATTACGAAAACAACATAATCGAAAAAAACAATTATTTTGCTTTGCAACATATCTGATCTAATTAATTTTGGTCTCATTTATTTGTATTTATCATATTTACATATGTTTAGTAGCTTGTTGAAGTGCGCTCCAAAATATTTGTTGATCTTGTTTATTGGTATTTATTATTTTGATATTATTTATTTAAATGTATCATTTATTTTATTTATTTTTCTATTGGTTTTTCAGTTGAATTATACGTTCAGGGTAATCAACAGTTAAAAAGATACTGTTCAAATTATTATTTGTATTTGTTTTAAAGTTCAATAAATAGATTTTTTCAAAGTCAATGAATAATCGTATTTAATAATCGTGATATCACTTATTGACCCAAATAATCGTGATTATGATTTTTGCCATAATCGCACAGCCCTACTTCAAACTCAGGAATGTTGCGTCAATTGACTACATTTCCCATCAACACTGATCGGTGGCATGTTTTCCCTTTAATAACAGTGACTTTATTTGAATGTAGTTTCAAACAGATGCTTGTCAACCTGTCTGTATATCTCTGTGGCTCCTAGTACTTGTGTTAGTCATAGAGTAGTCTCAAAGGCAGGTGCAACAACAAACATTTGAATGGCTACATAATATTGAAATCAGAAAGGATCTGGCCATAAGCGTGCCAGCATCATCCTCATTCACCTCGTGTTTCAGAGAGGTCAGTTTCTCCTCCCTCTCTCCCTGAAGTCTCCTTTTCTCCGCCTGCAGCTCCTCTTCAGACTCTTCCTGGAGACGTTCGATGTCCCGCCTCCTCTGCGCCTCCAGTCTGTCGCGCTCCGCTCCTCGCTCCTCCTCCAGAGTGATGCGTAACTCCTTCAGCATGGCCGCGCTCTCCTCCCTGGGCGCGGGGAAACACATCAGTGTGAAATGAAATAGATGAAATACAAACTGAAGCAGGAATTGTCAAATGGTTTCATGTCTGAGTATAAAATAAGTAAGTAATGAGTAATTATATGACACTTGGCAGTCATCAGCTATCCTTGTTTTCAAAGTTTGATAACAAGACATTGGATTCTAAAGGCTTTATTTGTCATATGCACAAAAGTCACGGCGTTGTTGTTGGCAATGAAATGTCTCAGGCTCCTCAACAATGCTACATACAATCTACTTAAATGATACATACAATGGTGCGATAGACATAATAGTTGAAGTAAGTTGCATTATAAGAAAATATCTATTATATAAGATAGAATGATTTCAACAGAATGTACAAATAAATACTGTACAGTAGTCATAAATAGGTTTGTGGATGTGTGGAGTAACAGAAGAGAACAGAGAGTGGAGACATTCAACTCGTGAAAAGTCAGTATTATTAGCCTCACTGTGTTTATGTTTGTTCCTGACCTGAGTTTGCGTTGCTGTCTCTCCCTCTCCTCCTTGGCCGACTCTCTGATCTCCTCCAGCGTCCTCTCAGACTCCTCGTTCAGCGTGGCCTCCTCCTCTCTCCTCTTGGACAGGAGGCGCTGCCGCAGAGCACTGGGGGGGGGGGGGAAACAAGCATCTATGAGGAAATAAATGATTCTCCAGCTTTGTTTTAGTCCCATGTTGGTGAGTTTAGGCAGTAACGTGTGATATACTCTCCATGCGTACCTTAGTCTCTCCTCACTCTCCTCCTTCAGCTTCCTCTCCTCCTCCTCCTCTTCTCTCCTCAGCTGAAGCAGAAGCATTCTCTTCTCCTTCGTCACTTTCTCCCTCTCCTCCCCCAACTCTACATCACCCTTAGTCCTCTCTCTCTCCTCCTTCCTCTCTTTCAGGCTCCTTTCCTCTCTCCTTCTCTCCTCCTCCTCTTCTCTCCTCAGCTCCTCCTGAAGGAGAAGCATTCTCTTCTCCCTCTCCTCCCCCACCTCTATGTCAGCCTTAGTCCTCTCCCTCTCCTCCTTCCTCTCTTTCAGACTCCTTTCCTCTGTCCTTCTCACCTCCTCCTCATTCTCCCTGTCTTTCGTCTCTCTGTCTTTTCTGACTCTCCAGCTTGGCTCCTCTTCCCTTGGGCTCTTTTGGATTTTGAAGAAGGCTTCGTCCTCGTCTAGTTGGGTGTTGGGGGTGCGGGACAGCCGACCTCTGGAGGTTTCCGGCCTTTGTATGACCAAAGAGGTGCCGAGGCTTTCCGTTTTTGGATGGAGCCCGACGCCTTGCCCCGAAAGAGACGAATTTGAGAGGGGGGGGGAGGGGCTGGACTGGTGGAGGACGAGTCGGTCCACTTTAGTGGCTGAAGGGTTGTCTTTGCTAGAATCCTGCAAAATCCTGAAGAGGGAGAAAAGTGTTACTCTTATAGCAAAGCAAAGAAAAGTTGTACAAATCCCAAAATTGGCCATAAGAGTTTATATTTTCCTGAATGGCCTTGTCCCTTTTGAAGCAGTTGTTGATATACATTCATTAGTTGGGACTTGTGTGCCAAATATATGTGGCACAATAATTACAATAGAGAGGCGAAGTCCCTCCCTTTCCGGGGGACCTCCATGGGACCTTATTTCGGAAAAATTATGTATTGAAGTCAATGGAGAGAGAAAAGTTATCTTTCTATCCCGTTTTACACGAATTACACATATGATGTTTGTCCATTTAAAAGATAATTTTTCAAGTCAAAAAAATAAAAATGTGTCGTAAAACTGTGAAGTAACACTTTTTTTTGTGTGAAACCACTCAATGAACTACATCTCCCGTCTCGCACCACACACCAAGACGGCCGTCACGTTGGCACATTTCACTTCTTTCTTTCAGAATGAGGCGGAAAGTATTAAAAGAGGTGAAAATCACTCCAAGTCTGGGCATGTTGAGAGCTGTACATACACACAAGGGGAGTTAGTCGGTTCCGTAAGAGCCAGCATGCAGGACCGGGATTCTGGGATTTGTAGTCTTTCTAGTTTTTCATAGTCTTATATTTCAACAGTTTTACGACAAAATGTGACTTTTTTGACATGGAAATTATTTTTTAAGATTGACAAACATCATATGTGTAATTCGTGGCACAATTCAAACGGGATCGAAAGATACGTTTTCTCTCTCCATTGACTTCAATACATACTTTTTCCGAAATAAGGTCCCATGGAGGTCCACCGGAAGGGGAGGGACTTCGCCTCTCTATTGAGATTTTAGGGGAAATCTAAAAATGGCTAAAATTGCAAGATTACAAAATATTATCAAATCATGAACTTCCAATTCCTTGTGAAACAATATAAAAAACCTGATAAGGACAATACCCCTTTACGAGATGATGCAATTAAGGCTAAGCACGGACTCTTATTTCCAGAAGTTACCAAAGAAAAACAACCAACCTCTTTGCAACCTCTGCCTTCTTTGTCTTCGTTCCTCCTTCTTTCTTCTCTTCCTCTTTTGTGTCCTCCCTCTCCAGAGGACTGACAGTGCCGGACAGGTCCAGAATCTTTTCGGAAAGCTTAAGGATTTCAAAGCAGTTTGACAATGAACACCCTAACCAATGAATGAATGAATGGTGCATAATGGGTGGTGACAGCATGACCTGAGTACCTTGACATCTATGGAGGATGAAGCCTCCTCAATGTTCTCACTGGCTTCAGACTCCTGCCACAACACACACACACACACACACACACACACACACACACACACACACACACACACACACACACACACACACACACACACACACACACACACACACACACACACACACACACACACACACACACACACACACACACACAGTTATGAATGAACAATGGCAAACTAAATTGCACAAGCACCACTAAGCATCAGAGAATGCTGAGATTTCCAAATGACAAACACGTCACCAAAAAGGCAAAAAGCAACAGCATACATGCAAACACAAACAACAAGGCTGCGAAATCAGACGGTCAAGTGTTTGTAAGCGAAAACAAGCAGACTCTGACAATTGGGGGAGGCCAAGGAGAAACTGGTCTGGTGAAAAAAGCTGAAAATAAAACACCAATCTAAAAGCAAAAAAAAAGTCTGTACTGCCAAATATAAAGGGGTCAGCACTTTCCAATCCAGTCCTCAGGGGCTCAAATGCAGTGTCCTTTTTACCAAATGATGTTCCAGTGTGTGAGTGATGAGCCCCTAAGGCAGTGGATTCTGGGAGCTACATGCGCCTTCTCGCAGAGATCAGGCAGCATCAGGGTTGGGGTCAGGAAGTGAAATGTGTGTGTGGTTTGGTTGGGGGAAGCACACAGAACACCGAACCCTACCTCTGCAGGAATGAGGGACTTTTTTGTCCCATTTTCCGTCTTGCCACTGAGAGTTTTTCTCGTTTGGTCAAGCGTTTTACGATCGCTCAGAGCCGTTCCGGTCTCAAACACCTCCACGACTTCCTCCTCACTCTCCGATGCAGTTTGGGGCTTTGGGACCTCTGATACGTCCTCTTCCTCCCCCTCTTCCTCCCCCTCTGTGTCTCCTCCTGCGCTCTCTGTCACTTTCCTCTGGCTCAGGGAGCATCTCTCCAAAGCTTCATCGTTCTCACCCTCGTCCTCCTCCTCCTTCTCCCTTTTCCCATCTATCTCCTCCTCGCTCTCCTCCTGCCCTTCTTCGATATCTACGCTTTTCTCAAGCTCTTTTTCCTCCTTTTCACTTCCAACATCTTGATCACTTTTGGAAGATTTCTCCAAATCTTCATCGCTACCGTCCTCAAATTCATATTTATCTTCTTCTTCTGCTTGCACCTCTCCCTTCGCCTCTCCTTTCTCTTTATTTAAACTCTCCCCTTCAGCACAACTGTCCTTATCACTGTCCCTTTCCTCTCTTTCATTCCTCTCCTGCTGTTTACTGTGCTCAATGTTTTCTGAGTCTTCATCACCGCCTTCGCAGCATTCCACTTCTATCTCGTCGCTCTCTTCCTCATCCAACTCTTTCTTGCTTTCTATAGACCTTTTACTTCCTCCCTGCTCATCCTGCATCTCATCCACCTCTTCTTTGACTTTTTCCTCGTCCCTATCTTCCTCACCTCCTCTCTCCTCCGTCCCTCCCTCCTCTGCTTCATCCTCTCCCTTTTCTACCTGAACATCCTCCTTCTCCTCCTCCTCAGTTAACTCTTTTTCTATTTCCCGTTCAGCAGAGGGTTCAGGACGGGCCCCCTCCTCACTGACGTGGTTTCTGCTGCCCCTCAGTGAGGACAGGTGGAGGTGGCGGCCCCTCAGAGACTCCTTGGTGGAGGGGAAGAGGAAGAACAGTCCGTCCGTCCCAGACAGAGGCACAAAGGAAGGCGTGCAGAGACACAAGGGAGAGAAAGGGTGGAGGAGGGCACGTAAGGGAAGGAGGCAGACAAAAAGATTGTAACCCCAAATTGAAAGACTGTAGGGGGGGGGAAACTGACGAATCGGCAAAATGAGCCATGTTAGACAACCAACACATGGATTATTAAAAAAGACAGATGCACAAATAAACCCATGCAGGTAGACACAGAAAACCATACACATGTTGTTGTTCTGGGTCTCTATAATGCTCAAACACGCACGCACGCACGCACGCACGCACGCACGCACGCACGCACGCACGCACGCACGCACGCACGCACGCACGCACGCACGCACGCACGCACGCACGCACGCACGCACGCACGCACGCACGCACGCACGCACGCACACACACACACACACCACACACACACACACACACACACACACACACACACACACACACACACACACACACACACACACACACACACACACCACACACACACACACACACACACAGGAGCAGGAGCAGGAGCAGGTTTGTCTGATATATGTGATTCCCTTATTTGAGCTTTTCAGAAAGTCATAATGTGCTGATGAAATCACAAAAACATCTACTTTAGTTTGGCTAAATCATCTGGAGATTGAGTCATTTTTAGAAAATAAATAAATGCAATACTACCTATTATTATACGTAATATATAGACTGTGCAATATCTATGGACTAGGACAGACTTTACTTGACATCTTATGGCAGTAGTGGGGAGTTTCACTGCTTATACACAAATCTAAGGGAAATGATAGTATTCATAGTGTTGTTGGCGATAACTCCTGACTAAGTTTCAGACAGCAAAGCAGTAACAGTGACAGTAGGAGGACAGCAGGACAAAGAGGAAGACACAGTGACAGCCGTGCAGCACAGCAGCACAGCAGCTACAGGAACACACCGGGTCACGGCCCAGAGGTGAGAGGTTTAAAGGTCAAAGAGGTCACACGAGACAAAGAGAAGCAATAACATATGCTTTAGAATCACAATTACATGAGACAATGAAAATGTCCACTATGGAAGTAACTAACACAGAGAAGGTGTGAAAACAATAGGCGCTTTCACACAGGAGTACTTTTCCCCGTACTTTTCCCTTTTAGTTCTGATAGTTCCTGGGATTTTGCGTTCACACCAAAAAGAGAACCCTTTTCAGTCCCTGCTTGAGAGGTGGTACTTTCCTGGGGAGAAAGAAGTTCCAATTTCTGATTGGCTGGGAGAATTGCAAACCACGCCCCGTAAAACTCGAAAAAGTTTTGTGAAGCCGCCATTTTATTTGCTGGCATTAGCATTATTAGCATTAGCATTAGCCCCGCGCACCAACGGAGAGAGAATAACTTAGAGCAACACAAAAAAAAACATGGGAGCGGTGGAGATGAGGTGGTGTCGGCGTTCTGGCGATTTACTCGGAAGGCTTCAGTAGAAGCTGCTGGGAGTCCCAGCAGCTTCTACTGAAGCCAGTCCCCAACTCCGGGGACTTCCGGCCGGGGACTCCGGGTGGCACTATATGCCGTGAAGTTGTTTGCGGCCTGCCAGTAAACCCAAAGCAGAAGAAGAAGAAGTGACGTCAGCGGCTTCATTTGCGTAATTTTCCCTCAGGGAACTTATTCCGGTGTGAATGCGATCTGCTCTTTAGTTCCATGGGGGAAGTGCTGGGAACTAAGTACGGCAAAGTACTTGGTGTGAAAGTGGCTAATGAGAACTAGCATCTACATCCTGCATTATAAACGTCTTATCATGTATTGATTAAACTAGTACCGTGATCAATGGATGCATTTTTACTGGAACTGCATGTTTTGGAACTAATGGGGATTATTTTTGAGTGTGATATGATTTGCAATATTAGAGGGATATTTTTTAAGATTCATTCATATTATCAATGAAAAGTGTATTAAAAAGATCATGGTTGGATCTGTCCAAAACAAGGATCATTTATTAAGCCTCTTGAATACCAGGCCTTCTCAGCAGCACAAAAATACTTATTACATATTATATTTGATAACATACTTAAACTAGATAGACTCCTTTCCCATTGCAAGAAGACAAGTATGCCGTTCTTTTTTTCCACCTGAGACTACTGCAGAGTATTCTTTTGTACCTGTTGGGAGGGTGGTTCAGGACTGTGGTCTCCTGAGAGAGCCAAGTCCTGCAACTCTGGCTCTGTCCTCTCCTCAGCTGGAGCTCCGCCACTGGCTTCACTGTCCTAGAGCACACACACACACACACACACACACACATTACAAGTGATAAACCATTATACAAGAAAAAACAGATTCATACCAAAAAAACACTCTCCTATTCAACATGGAATCAAGCCAACAGTGTTATTTCTTTAGAAGGAAATAATCAGACAGAATATATCAGTGTAAGCCTTGGAACGGCTGTTTTCATTTTTGTTATTCCATTATCTTAAGGAAAAGAAATAGAGTAGAATCAGAGCTGTACAAAGCAAATCAATGTGTGTACCTCATACTGAAGGCCTCCTCCGAGTGCGTCCAGGTCCAGGTGAAGGTTCTTCAATAACCGGTCTGAACCACGAGGACTTGGCTGAAAAAGATCACAATGTGTTTAAAAAGGGAAATAGAGCATACATAAAACAGCCAGTACCTGCTTGATCTTGGATTGAAGAGGTGAGAATCAGAGGGGTGACCTTTGACTTACTTTACAGGAGACAGAAATCTGAAATGTAGAATACCTTGTCCTTACTTTCTTTATTAACTCCAGTCTTTAAAAGTAAAACATCATAATCATTTGGATCACAAGAAGCTATGATATTTTGACTTTTTTTTCTTTTTCTAAAGTGCACTTTTGCACCCTAATAGTTCTGTTTGTTCAGGGCTTTTGGTTTGGCTAAAGTAAATGAATAACTATGGATTGGTAAAGAATTGAAAAGTGTCCTTTGGCATCAGAATAGGCTCATCAAGAGCTTTCTTCATTTATATATATATATATACAAAAATTCTCACACAAAATGTCACTGACACCCTCTGGTTGTAACCCATACATTTGTCTTAAGGTTGTACTGCACCTCGTTTTCTGAGATTTTCTCATCCTCATTGTCATCATCATCTTCATCATCATCATCAAAGCCAGGCAGAGTGAGAGACACTCGCTCCTCCTTCCTGTTGCCCAAAACACTCGAGGCTCCACTGCCCCGAAGGCTCTGACAGAGAAAGACAAAGAGTAACGTGTAATGGTTTGGGAGTAGGCATTATGTAAATAACATTATCAACATTTCATTTTAGGATTCTTTTATCATTGTCTTATGAGCAATTCATGATATTATCGCCATTATATGCCATACCATTATATATTATACATTATATTATTATTGCATCACAGAAAGGTCACACATCCTTTCAAGGGAAAAATCGATATCAATCTTAAATAATGCTATTATAAAGAATAAGGCTTTCTTGCATGAAGGCCAAATAAATAATCGTGTGAGACTATTCTGTCTTACATGATGAATTCTCATTTTCTTAATTAAAAAGGTGAATAATACAGTCCGTTTATAGACCTGGGATCTTACCCCAAGCGATGTCTTTAGCGGCTCCAGTCCCCCGGAGCTCCCGAGGGTGCGCCGGAGAGCGGGAGCAGAGCCAGACAGGGGGGCCGGGCCGGGGGCGTCCAGACCTCTGAGAGGAGCCAGGCTGCCCAGAGGGGACGGTAGGCGTCCCAGAGAGGAACTCAGCGCCTGTGGGACAAAAAGACAACGTAAGAGGAATGAGCAACCTTGACCTAACATCTTCAATCACTAAATACACTTAATGAATACTGAATTCCATTGAGAATCCTCACTTGGGCATTTTAAAAACAGCTTTTCATGGTTCTATGTTAATGATAATGTTTTACACAGTGTACACAAACGCATCATTACAGAGAATTTAGCAACGCCAATCAAGTCAAACAGAAAATGTTGATGGTTGTCTTTTTACCTATTTACTCATTTAAATAGCTTACGAGGTGTGAGGGTGAGGTCTCTAAGCAACAAAACATTCATATGGTGGATTAAAGGACAAAACAACAACAAAATACAAGATGAAATCTGTGGGAAAATATCACTCACTCCAGGGGTCTTGAGCGGCTCCTTCTTTTTTTTCTCTTTCTTCTCCTTCTTTTCTTTCTTCTTCTTCTTGTCCTTCTTCGCGCCTCCACCTCCTGTGGCGGTCGTGAGCTGGGCGCGCTCGCGCTCCTGGGCCACCAGGCGGCGGTAGTGCTCGTCGCAGGGGTGGTCCCACGTGGACTGTCCCGAGGAGAAGTTGAAATAGTATATGTCCCCCGTCACGTCCTGGCTGTGGGGGAGGAGGGGAGAGAATCGGGGGGTCACAAGGCAGGATAGAAATAAGAAACATTGGGTAGATGGGTATGGATAGATTCCTGAAACTAAATGCTGCACCATTTAATCAAACTCTATCTGACAGGTTTGTCGGGCCATAAAGAATTAAAGTGGACCTATCATGCTATATTTGAATAATATAGTGTAGGACCATACCTATATAAGGCATATTTATACTTTTTTTTTCTTCAAAATACCAAACAGATCATGCATTTTAGCCATGCCTCATCTTGCTCAATTTGACATTTTTTTATCCCTGTTTTAGCAAGGGCTGATTCAGTGAGAACAGCACCATCTACTGGGCTGGCATATGTACTACAGCGTCTCCAGCGCTTTCGAACGGCAATGGCCGTGGCTGTCTCCTCCTGATTGGTGGAGTTGGCCCAATAGCCGTAGCGCCACTTTCCTGACGTCAGGACAGTGTTAAAATCTGAATCAGTTTTTATCAGATCCGTTGCAGCCCCTTTTTTAGAGATTTGGGTATGGAGGAAAATAGAGAGGGTTGTGTTTTCTGACACTTGGTGAGTTCCCTGGAACACCGGGGACACATATTCATGTTTAAAAGATGTACAAAAGTGCATTTTGCATGATAGGTCCCCTTTAAAGCTGATTTATTTTTTAATGACTGACACGCAAACTAATCATGTTGGTTGACTCAATAGTTAGTAGTTTACAAACATCAAATGATATCATCCTCAGCCTCTCAGTTGAGGGGAGAAAGGGTTGGACAGGTATTTGATTTGCTCGAGCGATAGGGCCAATATATAATATTATACAGAAAAATATATGATGTTTGCTGGTCCATCAATCCAATACAAACCCTTTAACCTATATCTTAAACTGGTTTAATCTAGGACCTACTTGATATGGATGTGTAGTGGAGTGAGTCCAATGTTAGGCATTTAACTGCAGCTGACTAATGATGGAGCAAAAGATGGTTACTTAGCATTTCCCCCTTCAGGTTTCAAAAACACCTTCAAAGAATCAGTGGTCAAGGAGACAAACTTTATATCGGCCAAACACACTACAACCAATCAAACTCGCTGATGGGAATGCTTGTATCTGACGCCTCACTTAGGATCACCAAGACTGTTCACAACAACTTTCCGGCAGTGGCTCAGTCAGTAGGGGCTTGGACTGTGAGCCGTAGGGTCGCTGGTTCAAGTCCCCGAATCGACCTAAATATGGAGTGTGGACTGCTACTTGGAGAGGTCCTAGTTCACCTCAAGCGCCCTGCCGTGGTGCCCTTGAGCAAGGCACCGGACAACCCCCCCCACCCCCCCTGCTCCCCGGGCGCTGTACAATAGCTGCCCACTGCTCCTACTACTAGACTCCTGGTACTAGGAATCTATGATGGGTTAAATGCAGAGAACAAATGTCTGTGTGCTGTGTGCTCTGCATGTGTGACCATTAAAGAGGGTTTCATGCCTCCAATTCTATCTATCTATCTAACTCTGATTTAGATTAATAATAACTCAGAGTAACACTACAGGCTCCACACCAGATACGATGTCTGAATATGGTTGTTTTAAAAATGTAATGTAATAATGTTTTCTGTGGGTGGACATGCTGCTCTGGCCCCACTATCCAGTATCTCTCCCCTCTCTCACCAAGGCTTCCACTCGGGGGGGAGAGGGGCGACAATGCCTTCCCTGGCCAGCCACAGGAGCTCCGACTCCCTTTCAGGATCAATGCCAATCTCTCTTGCGTACTCATGGATCTCTGATGAGAGAGTGAGGATAAGAGAGAAAGAGTGATATGAGACAAAATGAATGTAAAAGTAGTATATTATAGAGCATTTAGTAGGTTTAACAGCTCATTAAAGCAAGGTCAGCCCAAAACATGCTAAAAATAGAATGATATAAGAGTGTAAAGGACACCCTTTATGCCTGATTACAACCTGAACTAAAAAAAAGAGAAAAAAAGTTGCTTCTAAAACATATTTAAATAGAAAGGCATTTTCTTAACTTTTATTTTATACGTGAAACTATTTAATATTGTTGTTTTTTACTTTTTGTCATTCAAAGTCCCTCCACAATGTCGTATAACTTTTATGATTGCTTGTCTATTATTTTTATTTTTATCTTGTAATGCACTTTGTAACTATTCTTTTTTTTTTACGAGGGGATGAAACTCAAAATGTAGACATTGAATAAATAAGTAGTGTGAAAAAAGTAACAATAGACAGCATCTTTTTCATTTTGTTGCAGGCAGGAAGTGTTTCTTTAATCAATAATCAACATCAATAATCAGTGTAAAACAATCCTGGGTACTTGTTGTTTGGTATATATGATCTTCGCCCTTTTCCTGTTTTATTGTAGCACAGTATCTGTGGTAAAGCTAATCTAGACACAGTGAGTAAATCATTATGACATCTTAAAGGACATGCATCCCCGAGATATTACCCTCACCACTGTGTACCTTGTTCAGAAGGTGTATAATTATCATCATAGTCCTCTTCAAGGATCAGTTGGTCTCCGATGAGAGCAGCTGCAGTCATGGTTACTGCAGAGAAATACACAACAGGGTGAATGGTACAGGAAAAGGGAGATATACTGTACATAATACTGTGGCTATAAAAGCTCAGATCATCATTGTGCTGTTCAAAAGACGCCCTGCGACAATATTCTGTCTTTCTATTATGCTTTGCTAACAAGATTAGCACATTCAGTCATTTATGATCAGAATCAGAATTCCTGTATTCGTCCCACATAGTGGAAATGTATGTTGGTACAGCAAAGTATATATAGAGACGAAGAAAAAACAACACTATTATATAAAAAGGCATGCACATAGTATTTAAAATAGAAAAATATACAATTTACAAAAGGACACATTCAAGTGGACAGTAACTAGCAGCAGTATTTATAAAATAAAATAAGTTTAGCACTGTAAAATGAAGTGTGGTGTATACAATTTGTAAAATGATTATTGACCATAGTTCCGTAAGATTCATGTTGCAATAATGGATGGACTAACTAGAAGTAGCATTAATAATAATATTAGCAATGAATCTAGCAAGCTATATTGTTCTACAAAGAAAGGCAAGGGATTAGTATTAAGTCCTAAGCCTGAGATAAACAATAGTCAGACACATTCGCATCTCTATAAACAAAACAATATCAACGTGAAATCATTTTAAGGACAGTAATGCGGGGGAAATTCGATAAGCTAATTAAGCATCTCAGCTAACTTCAACTAGCTAACATTAGCTCATCCAGCTAAGTAGTTAGAGAAAAGCTTTTTCATCAAAGGTGATTTACCTTCCAAACTTTTAATCGGTTTCTTATGAGCCTCTGTGGCAATAGCGACTTGTTTTCAGTTGTTTAACGAAGACATTGTGAACGCATAGGGGCAAAAGATGCTAAAGTTATAGCACTAACAACAACATCTCCAAGGACGCTTCCCCCGCTTCCTGTTGACGATGGAGTCGCGTCTCTGACTGGCTGAGCCACATGAGGCGTTCAAGTGCCCTCGTAAATTAATTGTTCGTCAACATAGTGACCGTTTTCAAGCTTTCTTAACTTTTTGGATAAGCAATTAAATGTGTTCAGAATCAGAATACCTTTATTATTCCCACAGAGGGGAAATGTACGTTGTTACAGCAGAAAAAGAGCCAAAGACAGCTTAATGTTATATATGTTACATATGTTATATGCATACATTTTTACTAAGTAAAAAAAAAATAGAATAAAATAAAAAGTTACACAATTTACAAAATACACATCCTGTAACAGTTATTGGGATTTAGCAGCCAGGTATATATTGCACAGTTAATAACGGCATATATATATATATATATATATATATATATATATATATATATATTGCACAAATAGCACAGAAGTGACTTTAATTAAACTTGACTTGAGGGAAAAGACAACATGACTGTTAACATAACTTTCCAATATGAGTGAATACAAAATTCAGATGTAACATTTAGTCAAGTAATTAGTACATGAATACATGATTGAATACATGGTGCAAGGGGTTATCTCCATTGTTTTTTTTTTACCAGTTTACAATTAGCCTATGAATGCGCGTACTATTTTGCATTGCACCTGGAAGCATCAATTGCTGTACAATGTTATATCAATACAGTCACTACATTTTAACTTTATTTGTCTTTTAGCTTTTCTCAAAGGTTTTTAAGTGTTCTTAGCGTCATGGCTACTGTATTTATCCTCCTATAACTGTTTTTTTTTTATTTCTTGTGGTTTAGGACTGAAGAAGCACCTTTATGCTGAGCAGTACTGTCATCTTGTTCTTTTGATAGGGGAAGTATGTTTGTGTCATCCTTGCCTTAAATAAGCATGTATGACTTGTTATTGAAATATCTTCAAATAGTTCTGAATGCAGCAGCTAGTTTTGTTGTCATGTCTCCCTCAGGAGGCACATTAAAGTAAAGATGAAGCATTTACTGTTTTGTTTAGAAACCACGGCCATTTTTTGATAGTTTTCTTAAACTATCACTGAAAATATCAGAGTTGAGTTGAGTTTGGAGAAGAGAGTTATTCTTAAAATGCAAATATAAAACCGAATTAGCACTACAGTGTCTTAATTGTGACTTGAAATTCAAATATCCTTTTCAAATGTGTGTAAAACAGTTTAGTGGGAGTGAGATTATTTTTACAAAGGGAAAAGGTGATCTGTTTTGCATGTGTCTTGGAAGGATCCCTGTGGTGTGGCAAAAGGGCACTTTCTGTCCTAAAGCCCCTCATTCACAGCTGGGGGCTGCATTAACACTGTGTTGCTAAAGAATGCCTTTGTCCCATCCCGGAGCCAGGGAGTGATATCAGATTGTTGTCACATCTTCTCATGCAATCTATTGTTGTCTGCTCACCTACATTTTGCAAAAAAAATAGTATGATCGTCCTAGTCTCTTTACCCAGATAAAGAGCAGTTGAGGGGAGGACTGATGCAACATGAGTGATTCTAGTGACAAGTATATCTCTAGTCAACCTCTCTGACATAGAAGCTAGGGTGTTTCACTACATTTGGTAAATAGAAGTAATTCTCAGGGCTAATGTAGTGCCAATTATACAGCAAGTTGTTTCAACAACTTATTTTTGTATTGTTAAATCTACACTTATAAATTATAAGAAATATTGCAAACATCGTTGCAAAATATAATTATTGCTAAATGTATTGTTGTGGAACACCACCTTTTAGAAAGCAGCTTGTGTTTATGTTTTTTTATACATGAAGGGATTGGCAGGATTTTATTTTACTTGAGTATGTTTTCAATTATCCTCATGCCAAACATTTATATTATCTCCCCTCTAACATATTGGGTTCTTTTAGACATGCTTCCTTCTGGTAAAAAGTATTACAAAATAAAAAGAACGAATAAAAACAGATATAAATAATGATTAATAGGTATGAAATAGTGATCCAGAATCCTTGACATGCGGGTTCAGAAAAGAGAAATCACTTCAGCTCCTATATTTGTCTTGAGTGGGCGGTCTGGTTCTGGTTAACGGGTGAATGGCCTCTACATCTTGGGCAATGGTAGCTCTCCCATTACAAACAGGCCTTGAAACTCAGATGTTCAACACCTACGCACCACACAATATATTACACAGTCCTAATGTGGGATTGCAGTGTGCATTTTTGTCTTAACACTTCAAACATGAATCATGACCTAAAGTGTTTGTTTTAGTAGCCATGAAGTTAACCTTTTTAAATGTTAACATTTCAAATCATTGTTCTTTTGTTTAGGTAGTTACATCTCTATTTCAATTTGTATTCATTGTTCTTTTTCAATGCTCCTAGTTACATTACATGTCATTTGTTACACGCTTTTATCCAAAGGACTTACATACATTCAATACTGTGGACAATCCCCACAGAAGCAGTTTGGGGTAAAGTGTCTTGCCCAGGGACACAACAACATGCTGACTGCAGTGGGACTCGAACTTGCTATCCCCTGATTTGAAGTCGATCACACTTTCCACTGAGCCACAGCCTCCAGTTATATTAAGAGTGGATAATATAGTTATAATATAATTGAGAAAAGCAATGAAACCAAGTAATTGTCTTCAAATTCTTTCCCTACTAATTAATGGGTTCCATTTGTTTTTCAAAAGTATAAAACAATGTATGTAATAGTCCTAAAACCTTTAAAATACTCAAACTAGTGCCTTTAGGATTTTAATTGTTAAAAAAATGCATTAAACAGTTAAGTCTACTTAAAAAATACATATGAAGATTAAGGTGCCTTACGATAGCAATTTGTTTCTAGTGAAATATAAATCTGTACTATCTAGTATTAATTATAAGTATCTGTATCTCTACAGAATAATACATTTAGCGGGGAAAAGGGCCTTTTCTGGCAGTTTCCTTTTTGAAGGAACATATGCAGAATGTTTTTCAACCTGTAGTAATCATTACACTTTCAAATAATATGTTGATCATTTAAAGACTCTGCACCGAAAACAGATTATTATTGGATTTGCTGTTGCAAGAGCTTTCAGAGGTGTGTCACATGTTCCTATCACGTCAGCAGGGCCTAACGTTTAACTCTGCACTTTAACTACAGTGCATTATCTAAAAAAGCAGCAAATTGCTACACAGGATCATAAAGGCAGAAGATAATGTTCCCTATCAGAGCAACAGCTCACTGTATGTTTGTTGGCAAATAAGTAGCCCAAGTTTGTCCTCATTACTCTCTGACAACGTGAGGGTTTGTCAGTATTTTTGATTTAAACAATATCCCTTAGTGACTGTACTGGATACAGATGTACGGCACCTTTTTTTTTTTTTCCTCTAATGTTTAGGTTATCTGAGTTCAGGGTGGATTTTCTTGATGTCCCGCTGTACAACCCGCAGAGCGATACAACCTGCAGTGACACTTTGCAACCAGGTCTCCGGTCAAAATATCTGTATTAAACCGACCTCAACAGATGTGACATTGCAAAACCACCTCAATACACTCAAGAAGACTTGGATATAGCTTTCTGAAATCTTGAAGAAGATGAGAGAGAGAGAGCTCCGCACTGTTGCTCGCAGCTGAGATAACCTCCCCTGCTGGTTTGAGAGCAGTGCTCCATCATGGAGGCAGCTGGAACAATGACGTGACCTTTGAACCTCAGCCAGGGCCTGATCAAGTGATTTTCTGATTAAATATTTATCAGCTTCAGGCAATTACTCCACATCTGTCTGGTTGTTGATGGTCACTGTTAAACTGGTTGTTTATCAGCATCAAAGAAGTTCCCTTTTTTTAGTAAAGTTTCACGAAATCCTATCACATGTTAGAATATCATTTAGATTTATGTAACTGTTGCTATTGAGATCTTTGTGATTGTGACACAAACTAGTTGTCAGTGAAGAACTTCCCTTAAGCAGTTTGCAAGTGTCCTGAATCTTTAGAATCCCCAGGATCAACCGTTTTGCTTTCTTTTTGCCTGTTTAAATGTTAGTGACGCTCACCATAATAATAATAATAAGGTGTTTAGTCGCTTGAGTATCAGGAAAATGCAACCTTAGCAGTTGTCTTGCCAGTTAGGTGTTCTTAGTTTGTATTGATACAACCGCAGTTATCTTGATGGCTCTGTGTGGATGCTGACGCATCAGTCTCAAAGGTTGTGGTTCTAGATAAGGTTAATTCTTCTGTCAAGGCCTATTTCACATTTGTTAAATGGTTTAGTCAGAAAACATTTGATAAAATACTGAATTATGCCCATCACTATTTCTCAAAGTCAGAGAAAGCACCTTCAGGTTTCTTGTTTACGCCCACCATTGGTTCAAAACCATTGTTTTTTCTTGCTTGTCTGTTGCAGTTTGCCTGGCTAAATAAAGCACTCGGGAATTCAGATATAGCAATTAATGGTTATTTCCTTACATTTGACAAATTAATAACGACAATCTGAACCTTGAAGTGGCTTGTATAGCTGATAGTGTTGTCACCCCTCTGTCATTAAAGCCTCATCAAGCTATGCTTGGCTCCTGTCTATAAACATTGTGTTGAAGTCAGGGGGTGAGGGTCAAGATTGCCACCCCTGTGTCAAATGATAAATAACAAAGGCAAATGGAAGTAGAGAAAGACAAAGAGGGGCAAAGGTGATTTGGTCTATGCGTCAGACACGCATTGAAACCATCATAAATGTAATATAGACATTTGTCTTGTGATTTACACTCATAAACATTACAAACCCTGACACAAATGTATGAAATTAGACCAAACAGCTGTTCAATAAATGCAGTAAAGGAATTTTGTTGAGACTGTGAAAGATAGTAGTTGACCTTTTGCTAACAATTTGATCCACCATGTAGGTGTACTTTTTGGTATTTTGAGGCAACAAATCAGCCAGAATAAAGATATTTTAATTGCATTCGTTATTTGGTTCTGTTAAAATAAGTTGTAAGTGTTGCTTCTAAGATCAAAAGCATTATCTCCAACTTCTACTGAAT